CCCCCCTCGCCGTGGCGGCACCGTCCCCCCGCTGTGGCAGTGCCAGTCCTACATGGCCCTGCCACGTCCTCGTGCTGCCTCCATCCCCTCATGGTGACACCGCTTCCTCATGGCAACGGCACCGCTCCCTCATGGCACTGCCTCTCCCACATGATGATATCGCCATTCCCTGCATGAGGATGGTGCCATCCCCTCACGCTGCTGCTGCCCCTTCAAGATGGTGGCACCATCCCATCCCGCCACCATCCTCTAATGCCATGGTCATCCCCCCACAATGGCACCTCCACCTCCTCCTCCTCAGCCTTCCTCCCCCACCACGCGCAAGCCGGGCGCGGCAGCAGCACTAATTACAGGACAGGCAGCTGGGGCCTCGGGCAGAGTAGGCCAGCAGGCACTGCCTGCCATGCCGCCTTCCTGCTGGTGAGGGATGTCCTGCGCCCCCGCTCCTCCACGCTGCCTGGAGCTTCCCCGATGGCCTCGCTGGCTCTAATTACATTGGAATGGCCGCAGTGCTGGGCTGGCCTCGCGCTGCCCAGGCCGGCATGACTCACGCCACCCAATGCGGCATTACCGGGGAAGGAGTGGGGCTCGGCTCCTGTGCGGCTCCCCATCTCCCTGCCAGCATACAGGGGACCCCGCAGCAGGGACGGGGGTCCTGGACGGAGGCTGTCCAAGCTCCCAGGTGTCCCGATGGAAGGGGCAAGGCAGGTGCGTGGGTCATTGGCGCCGCACTGGCAGATGCCTCCCAGCTCCTCCAGCTCAGTGTTTCCCTTCTTAGCTCCAGGCCGTGCTCCCTCCCCAGCCAGGAATCCTCCCGGTCTCCCTGTTTATCCCCATTAGTCACACTTCCCCTCCAAGCCATCCCAATTTAGATCCTGTTGTCACGCCTCGCCTCCCGATAGCCTCCCAGAATTGCCACGTCAGCTCTGGCGATCGCGGGCCCACTTGGGGCGCCGTGTGGCCACAGAGGTGCGATTCGCCCAGAGCAATCGCGCGCAGTTCCCCCTGCCAGGGCCCGGCTGTTCTGCTTCCCCACGCTCATGTCTTGCGAGGGCGGCGAGGGAAGGACCAGCGCTGCAGTGGGGAGGAAGGCAAGCGTGGGTCATTAGTCACCAGCGGCTGCCGCAGGCCTTTGGGGCTAATCACATCCCCGGCGGGGGGCATTCCCACCACCCCGTCGCTCACCGGAGCGTCCGCTCGGCCCTGCCTGCTGCCAGCACCCAGGCCATGGGGAAGAGAGGGCTGCCAGAAATGCCCACGTGGCAGCGTCCACTCCTGCCAGCGCCGGGAGGACTCCGTCCTCAGCCACTGAGAGCTGAGGCCTTTCGCTACTGGAGCAGCTGAAACCACCCAAAAATATCCCACCACGCTCAAGCATAGCCAAAATGTACAGGACAGAGCAGGCTGCAGCAAGAACTACACATACTGTCTGAACCTTTATTCGGACCCTTTAGCTAAACAGGCTAACAACTGAAACACCTCAGGAAGACTAAGGAATACAGTATGCGTTTCAAAGGCAATCAAAGGGACTTTTACAATGAAGTCAAATGAACAGATGCACGGGTATAATTTGGTAAGGAATTGACCAACAGGCAAGAAGAACAGAGACACCATTTCCCTAGCAGCTTTTCTCCCATCTTGGCTTAATTTCCAACCTTCCCACTTTCTGGCTTTCACACCTGGAGAAGTGCCACTGGGGCCCTAAGGATCGCAGGCTGAGGAGGTTCAGGATGTTGTTTTCTGAGGAACAGCCCAAAAATCAGTGACTCAGCTTTCCTACATGAGATTCAGTGCCCTGGAGGTGACATCCTTGCACCAGTAACCAAGGGCTTCTAGACAAAACCACCTGCTGTCTCCTAAGAAGCCAAGCAGGATGTCTTAAAACAAAATACAGAGCTTTTCTCACAAGAGTGGAAGCAGCAGTGCTTCCAGGAGCCTCCTGGTCATGCGTAGGTCGCAGCAAAAGTCATAGGAATCATTTATTTCTAGTAAGGAAGTAATAAAACCCACTGGGTACTAATGGACAAAGTCTTCAGCTTGTCACCTAAACCCATCTCTTGCTAAAATGAATAGCCTGATTGCCTGGAGGCTGGGTGCTCCACTGCTCCTGGCAGTGTCCCAGGAGGAGCTAACACACTTCCCACTTCCTCCAGCTCAGCTGCTTCCCAAGCTCCTGATGGGAGCTGAATCTTGGGCACCAGGCCTGGAAGGGCCAAGTGCGGCCCATTCCAGCTGCCATGGAGACTGCTGTATTTTCATGAAGTTACAGTGAAACCACTCAAGTTTCTGGTGTGTCCCATGCTTTGTTTCAAACCAGGGTGAGGAGGCCCGAGGGAAGCTCCCATTCACTGTAACGCTTCAGAGAAGGTCCAAGAGGCTTCCTTCTGTTCCTGCCATGGTCACCTTGCACAAGCTCCCTTTTGGCAAAAGCCCCTGCTTAAAACACCAAGCTCTGGGAATGAAGCAAAGCAGGGCAAAACACAAGGAACACGGTTCCAGGACACGATGGGGTGGATCCCAGGGCCTTACTTGAGCACCCAGTAGAAGCATGTGGTGCCACTTGGCCTACCCTGAGCTCTTCCTCGCATTGATGAAGGGGCAATAACCCTCACCTTTCCCCACAATAACCACCAAGAGCTGTGAAGGGATCAGTGGGGAGAAATCACAGATCTCGGGGTATCTTTGGTGATCCAAGCTGCACTGTACAGCACAGAGGACAAAGAGCAAGCCCACGCTCTCCAGCAGCGCTGCAGCTCAAAATAAAAACCTGTCACTTCAAAATACTTAGAGGCCCTCCAAAGAACTGTGATTTGTTAACAGAAACTGGTGCAAAAGGATGGAGGATTTTCCCTCACTCTGTTCATTTCCATGGTTTAGCTCCATATAAGCCTCATGTCCTTGCCAGATGCCTCCTCAGCAACTTGCCTCTCTGACAACCTCTCTCCAATGTATATGGCAACATTTCAGTATGAAGGGCTCCTGTTGTCATGGACCCAGTGGCAAGACCCAAACAGCTCCAAGTAAAGCTCAATAAATAGAAGAAATAAATATTAAATAATAGGCCAAGTCCTCTCAGCCTTTTCAGTATATGTACAATGCATAGCAAAATAACAGTGATTGGCTATTGCAGACAACAGTTTGGTACAACTTAAGTCCCTCAAAACAACAAAAAACATTGGAAAAGAGTTGCAATCATCATAAAGCAAAGAACGACCAAGTGCTGTAATCCTTGAAGAAGTACACGGCAGTGCTTGGGAATACCCCTCATCCTGGCTTTTCAGCAACGCTGCAGAGACCGTGCTGGGTTTGCTGGAGCGGGGTAACTGGCCTCACACAGGTGTTGGGACAAGGTAGGATCCAGCGAGAGGTGAGAGCAGCCCCAGGAATCCCAGGTTCCTGGGAGATATTTGAAGCTGAACGATCGTCTCTGCAGTGCCTGGCACCAGGATAGCAAAACCCAGTGCATGGTCCCATGCTCTGCCATGGAAAGGCAATCGGCATTTGGGGGGATGGAAACAAAACTGTGGGCAGGGAAGTGCCCTTACGAATGGAGAAGGAAACACGCTCCAGGACAGTGCTTCCCGAAGACATCCGAGATGTTTTCCTGAAGCTGCTATACTCTCCATGAGGTTGCAGATGTTCCTGGGCATCCCTTGAGCTCAGGAGCAACTGGCCAGCCTCAAGTGAGCAATGATGTGCACACACTGAAATGACCACGTCGTGTTTCTGCTGCAGGACAGCGATCTGGGATGCCAAATGTAGAGCAAAAATTTCTTAAAAGTAAAAACTGAGCAAAACAACATTAAAAAAAGAAGAAACAAAAACAAAACAAAAAAAAGCACTGGCAAAAGGCACAGAGATGGAAAAGCTCATGGGCTTCTCGCAAAGGGGCAGGAAATCCAATTGTCATCCAAGAGGGAGGACGATGCTTCGGATTGTACTGAAAATTATAAATAATTAAAAAAATAAAGAAATACATGCCATCATGGAGGAAAAAAATATACATGGGTATGCACATATAAACATGCACCTATACATATATAGACACATATATATGTGCACGTACTTGGTTAGGCCCTGTCACCGGAGGTTGGGGTACAGATTGTTCTATTTCTCACGTCTGTAGTTTTCAGGGATGGGTCGTCCCTCCACAACAAACACTGGGAAGTCCTGGCGACGGCATCCTCCCAGGGAAACCAGCAGCGCCCTTCGGAGAGCTGGGTTTCGGGTGGTGCCCTGGCAGTGAGAGCCAAGGGAAACAGCGGCGCCAGCCAACTGGCAGCCGCGCCGTGCGGGCACGCGCACGCCGGGCGAGACTTCCCTTCGCGGCGCTGCAAATCCCCTCCGCTCGTCCGCTCGGTGACAAGGGCACGGGAGCCGCAGGGCTCGTGTCGTTTCTTCCGCAAGATCCAAGAGCCTCTGCTCTTGGCTCCCAGTTTAAATTTAACAAGAAACCCAAGATTTTTAACAGGAAAACACACCAAAGACCACAACCCCCTCTCCTTTGCCTGCCTTAGACCATGACGCACTTCCATCTTGCTCCAGGGAGCACAACTGAGCGGTCCCGGTGCCTGCAGCGCCCGGCCACAAGCTGCACCAGGAGCTGCGCTGGCTCCAGCCACCTGCCCCAGGGGCACAGGGCTCACGGGCCAGCGCTGCAGACCTTCAGGCATGAACAGTGACACGGATACATTCAAACAAACAAACAGATCCCAAAATAACTTATTGTTCCCCCCAAAATAGAATAAATAAATACTGCTAATGGCGACCACTTGCATTCATTCTGACATAAAATTAAAAATAAAATAATGATAATAAATAAATAATTTACGAGGTTTACTCCAATGCGAGTCTGACCGGGAAACCCCAGGAGAGTTTAGCTGCCATGGACTGTAGATGGGGCAGTCCTCAGAGCGCAGAGCAGCAGGCTGGTGCAGAGCGCAGCGCAGCGCGCGCGGGCGGCTCTTTTCCCATGGTCAATGCACGCTGCTTCCCACGACGCGGTGCTTTGTTCACCTGTCCCCACCATCAGGGGACTTGGCTCCCTGTTGTGTCTTCGTATTTACACGGGGTGCACAAAGCTTCCCTTTTCTCTTCTCCACCTGGCTCCCTGCTTCACTGCGTGTCAGGGGATACTAACGGGTATGAGGCTCTTCCTCTAGAAGTGCTAGATCTGGGGTTTGGTCTCCAGTCAGTGTGATCAGGTCTTCCCAGGGAGCAGGAGGATGGGGCATTTGGAAACTGAGCTAGGAGACCCTCTTTGGAGAAGAAGCACAAGGTTTTCAGCCCTTTAGAGAGAAGGGAGCTTGCTGCAGAAGACCATTGGCAGTGGGGCACCCCACTGCTGCCTGGACGAGTGCTTCACAGCACGTGCCCATTTCTGTGTCCTCAAACACAGCTTTAACCGGCTCCCTCAGCCCTGCCAAGAACGGCCTCTCCCACCCGGGCAAGGTGGCCTCTTGGGACTTGCACTCCTAAATCTATCAGCATCAAGAGCCGCCCTGAACAGTGACATGGGTGCACGCACCCACCCAACAGCAACACATCCCCGTCCCCAGCCTCCAAACACCTGCACAGAGCAAGGCAGGAAGGGATGAGTCTGAGGGAGAGCGGGCGGCTCTTGGGGCTGAAGGCAGAGCCAAAGGGATCGGCAGGGGGAGGCTCCATGCAGTGAGGGACCCCCAGCACAAACCTGCCTCTTGCACCACCCGGGGACGCAGCGAGCACCACAGCACGGGTTACAAAACAGACAACACGTCCTTGTACGCTTGATAATCGGGTAAGGGAGATGCACCCTGCGCCCGGCCTCCTCCACATGCGGCTGGGCCTGTTCGCCTGTGCCAGGGGCTGCAGGTAGTCCTGGCTACAAGGAACTTGGGCTGCTGAGTTTGGGTCTCTCTTTACCCGCCTCCTTCTCCTCTAGCAGATGCTGCCTCCACTGAGCCCTCTTTTGTGACACTTACAAGGCACACCTCCTTGACTCATTAACTCCAGCTCGTTAATAAGCATGCTGGATGGAAGGGGAGGGGGTGGAAAAAAAAAAAGGGAGGGAGGGAAGGCTTAATCCCAAATTAGCTTCTCTAAGCACCCAGGTGTTGTAAGAGAAAGAAACTTCTCAGCACCAGCTCAGCCTGTGTGGGGAGAAGCCTTTGTTACCCTGCAAAACACAGTCATTGCCCAGGCAGCTGGGCTGGCAGCTCTGGCACTGGGACAAAAACACGGGGCCCAGGGTGGCAGAGCCACCGCAGAGCCCGCGGGCTCCTCCGAAAAACGGAGCAGAGGCCGCCCCGGGTGCCATCCTGGCAGCGAGGATGGGACAGGGGCACAGGTGCTGCCTGCAGCAGGGAAGGAACATCGGGGGGCAGGCGGGAACCAGGGCCGCTCCGCAGCCCCTGGCGCCATGGCACGGAAAACACCGGGAAGGAGGAGGGAGCGCCGAGCGCCGGGGCGGCTGCGCCCGCTGGTTCTGCCTTCCAGGGGAGCCTCACAGGCTCAGGGAGAAACGACTTCCTGAAATCCCCCCCAAAAGTGCTGCTGAAAATTGCTGCCTGTTGCAAGAACGGAAAGCCGAGACTCCCTGGCACGGGCTCTTAACCCCGTGCGCCCCGGCTTGGCGGAGAGGCTCCGGCCCCGCTCCTGCTGCGGCGGCGTAAAGGCCACAGAGGATGGACCTGCCCTGGGACAGGGTGACCTGGGC